CCTTACTGCCTGCCTTACTTAACCCATCTCACCCTGTTTCTTTTTTTTTAAATATATTTTATTGATTTTTTACAGAGAGGAAGGGAGAGGTATAGAGAGTGAGAAACATCGATGAGAGAGAAACATCGATCAGCTGCCTCCTGCACGTCCCCTACTGGGGATGTGCCCGCAACCAAGGTACATGCCCTTGATCTGAATCGAACCGGAGAACCGGAGACCCTCCAGTCCGCAGGCTGACGCTCTATCCACTGAGCAAAACCAGCCAGGGCTCAGCCTGTTTCTTAATCTGCTTAAGGGGCAACTTGATACTCATTTTCCAAGTTTGTGGGTAAATATATATTTAGTGCATAAAATAATGCAGAACATCAATAAATTACAATCATTGCTGCGAGTGATGGCAAAATAGAGTATCTTCTTTTCTGTATCACGTATTCCATTTCATGCCTGCGGGGGGATTTAACTGGGAGTTGTTAAGTAACATCTCAAGATGACACACATAATTGCTGGGAGTGAGATAGGCATTCAGGTGTTCTTTTCGCTATATTGTGCAAGAGAAGAACATCCACATGGGAAAATTAACTTTCTTTGAACTCAGTGACTCTGAACAAATGAACACCTCACCCAAGGACTCAACTCTGAATGCCATCAAAGAATGTCACACAAAAAAAACATAGCTCTCGATGAAAATAATACTTTTGACAAGACCTGGTGATATTGTGACTGCACAGGCTAGAGAGGCATGAAGACGCATTGAAGTGCAAACTCTAAGCCATCTGTTCTATGAAATGCAAATAATAACTGCCTCCTTAAGATTCAATTGTCTGTCAGTTAAAAAGGACACAGTGCTCAACACAGGGCCTGGCACATAGACTATTCATAGGAAATATTACCTGTCCAGACCTAGAAGAACTTTCCAAAAATTCATCTGGAATAAAAAAAAGACCCTGAATAGCTGCAGTGATCCTAAGAAAGAAGAACAAAATAGGAGGGATCTCAATACCACATATCAAGCTGTATTCTAAAGCCACTGTTCTCAAAACAGACTGGTACCGGCACAAGAACAGACATAGATCAATGGAATAGAACAGAGAACCCAGAAATCGACCCAAACCACTATGCTCAATTAATATTCGACAAAGGAGGCAAGAACATACAATGGAGTCAAGACAGTCTCTTCAATAAATGCTGTTGGGAAAATTGGACAGATACATGCAAAAAAATTAAACTGGACCACCGACTTACACTATACACAAAAATAAACTCAAAATGGATAAAAGACTTAAACGTAAGATGGGAAACCATAAAAATACTAGAGGAATCCACAGGCAGCGAAATCGCAAACATATGCCGAAGGAATTTCTTCACTGATGCTGCTCCTAGGCAATGGAAACTAAAGAGAAAATAAAAAAATGGGACTACATCAAAATAAAAAGCTTTTGCACAGCAAAGGAAACCATCAACAGAACAAGAATAAAGCCCACTGCATGGGAGAACATATTTGCAAATGTTATCACTGATAAGGGTTTAATCTCCAACATTTACAGGGAACTCATATAACTTAACAAAAGGAAGATAAACAACCCAATCAAAAAATGGGCAACGGACCTAAATACATACTTTTGGAAAGAAGACAGAAGAAAGGCCAAAAGACATATGAAAACATGTTCAAAGTCACTAATCATCTGAGAGATGCAAATCAAAATGACAATGCGGTACCACCTCACACCTGTCAGAATAGCTATCATCAACAAATCAACAAATGACAAGTGCTGGCGAGGATGCAGAGAAAAAGGAACCCTCGTGCACTGCTGGTGGGAATGCAGACTGGTGCAGCCACTATGGAAGACAGCATGGAGTTTCCTCAAAAAGTTAAAAATGGAGCTCCCATTTGACCCTGTGATCCCACTTCTGGGAATATATCCCAAGAAACCAGAAACACCAATCAGAAAGGGTATATGCACCCCTATGTTCATAGCAGCACAATTCATCATAGCTAAGATTTGGAAACAGCCTAAGTGCCCATCAGCAGATGAGTGGATTAAAAAACAGTGGTACATCTACACGATGGAATACTCCACTGCAGTATAAAAGAAGGGATTCTTACCATTTGCAACACCATGGATGGAACTGGGGAGCATTATGCTAAGTGAAGTAAGCCAGTCAGAGAAAGATAAATATCACAGGATCTCACTCATTTGTGGAATATAATGAACAACATAAACTGATGAACAAAAACAGATCCAGAGACAGAGAAGCATGGATCAGATCATCAAACCTCAGAGGGAAGGTAGGGGAGGGTGGGGGTAAGGGAGAGAGATCAACCAAGGATTTGTATGCATGCATGTAGGCCTAACCAATGGACACAGACACAAGGTGGGTGAGGGCATGAGTGGGGGCGTTGGGGAATAATGGGGGTATAAGGACACATATGTAATAGCTTAATCAATAAAGAAATTTTAGAAAAGAGCGATAATAAAACTCCTTGTCTAAATAAAAAAAAATATTACCTGTCTTAACCTCATCCCTTTTCCTTCGGACTCCAGGGAAAGCCCCATGTCAAGCTCTTCAAGCAGAGGTGAAATTTCTACTCTAAAAATGCTCTCTCTTTATTTCTGTTGGATATAGATGGGTGGCAGTTAATAGTTGTATCAGCTAGCTTTTGATGTATAACACACCAGCCCCCTCCCCCATTTAGTGACTTTAAACAAGAGCCGACTCCTGCCCTCACAAGTCTGCGGCGCAGCACTGTTAGCTGGGCTCAGCAGAGTGCTCCTTCTGCTGTGCTCTCTCAGGAGGCGTCCTCATGCATCTGTGGTCAGTGCCCTGTCCGCTCAGTGGCTCTGCTGGGGGTGGCTCATGCTCTGGGATGGTCTCGCTCACATTTCTGGCATTTGGTTCAGGCAGCTGGGTGAAGGGCATGCGAGGGCCATGGGTCTCTCATCGCCCACCTAGCCCCAGCTTCTTCATATTTTCGTCATCTTGTTTGAAGAGTGCAAGCACTTGTTAATTCTCAGCTAGCTTCACGTTTGCCATCGCCCCACTGGACAAAGGGAGCTCCATCTGCCCTGCCAAGGACGACGTGGGAGGAGACGCAGGCACAGAAAGCAGTTCTTATTGTAACAGGTTACTATTACAGCGGTTCATCAAATGACCTTGTGCATCATTGGAGAAATACTAACTGTGGACAAACCAGGTGGTAGAAGGCTAGTCTCTCAGAAATGATTTTCACTGCTCTTTAGAAAAGGTCACAACCATCTTCCCTAGTATTCTAATGGGCAAATGGTAAACATGTTTTATGAAATTCTGGGGACAAAAAACTAATTTCAAATTTTCCTGGGCATTGTCCTGAACCAGTAAGTTGTGGCTCTCTTTATCCAGGAACATGCTATGTATGTCTTTGCCAGTAGGAATTCCATATTATAATGCTGCTATTCCTCTCCCTTCCAACAGGCATGCCCCCAGCAGAGGCATATTGCATAGGCATAATCTCATGTAGAAGTAACAGAATAAACTAGAAAATGGCCCCTCTGGTGAGACAGCAGATAGGACCTGGTATCGTGAAGTAGACTTGGGATGTGGCTGGGGCCTGGTTGGACCACTCCTCCGCCCAGACATCAGCCCTGTCTCCCGCCTTAGCTACAGGTCCTTCAGATTTATTCAAACCACCGTCCAAAGCTGAGTACAAGTTTATCATTTCCTACTACGATGTCCTAACCCTATTTTTAGGATCCCATGGTAAGATCTATTTTGGGGTGGTTGATATTGCTACTGTGAATGTCATTTCCCCATTCTAATTTTATAAATATTTTTATTGATTTATCGACAAAGAGGAAGGAGAGGGAGATGTGTATCAATCCAATCAGCTGCCTCCTGCAAGCCCCCTACCCGGGACTGAGCCTGCAACCCTGGCATATGCCCTGTCTGGGAACTGAACTGGCAAATTTTCACTGCATGGGATGATGCCCAACCACATGAGCCACCCCGGCCAGGGTTCCCTGTGCCAAATTTACAGATGATTATTGCTGGCATACATGAAAGATCCTGGTATTTTAAACATTACTATTTCATTCTACTGCTTAAAGGAATTTATATATACACCATTTCTTAGGTGTTTTCCAAGAACATATTCATAACATCTGCAAAGACGACGACAATTTTGCCTTCTTAACCAAAACAACAGACTTTTTTCTCTTTACAATCTCCTTACAGTGGAAAGAACACTAAAACAACATTTAATGCTCTTGATGATAAAAGGTATATTTGCCTAGGTCCTGACTGTAGTAGTTTTTTTCAAGTGGTTTCACATCACTTGTGTACTTGTGAGCATGGACACACTGAGGGGACAGCCTGCCAAAACCCATTTTCTTCATTTGTTTTTAATCTTGGTTGTTTCATTCCTTCATATGTTCCTGATCACCTGCGGATCACTAAAACATGGTCAGTACCAGTTGTGTCTTTATTGGTTGAAGTCATTCTCTTTATGTCTCCATTTAATCATTTTCTCCATATACGACCCATACCTTTGTATCATATTATGCTCTAGATCAGTGATGGCAAACCTATGACACGCGTATCAGAGGTGACACGCGAACTCATTTTTTTGGTTGCTTTTTCTTTGTTAAATGGCATTTAAATATATAAAATAAATATCAAAAATATGTCTTTGTTTTACTATGGTTGCAAATATCAAAAAATTTCTGTATGTGACACGGCACCAGAGTTAAGTTAGGGTTTTTCAAAATGCTGACACGCCGAGCTCAAAAGGTTCGCCATCACTGCTCTAGATACTGCGGATGTGTGTTGCCACCGGGAACAGGATCACTTCATGAGCTATTCTGGGTATAAATGGGGTGGTGCAGACCCTGGGAAGCTGAACTAACTTGTTATTTAAACATTGGACTGTATGTTTCACAACTACTTTCCATTTACATCTCAGTCCATTTTCGCTGGAATAAGGAATTATTTCAGTGGAGGAGTGAGGTCTGGGGGATCTTACTTGCCTGGTGCCAGCAGTGTCCCTGGTAAGGGGGAGACCAAGATGCACTAAGTTGCAATGTGGCAAAGGTTGAGGGACATCAGAGGTCTTCTCCATGAGGCTCCTACGCCTGCTAGAGCAGGAAAGCAATACAGAAACTAAGCAGGTGAGGGAAAGCTTTAGGTCAGGGGTCCTCAAAGTACGGCCCGCAGGCCACATGCAAATACAAATATTGTATTTGTTCCCGTTTTGTTTTTTTACTTCAAAATAAGATATGTGCAGTGTGCATAGGAATTTGTTCATAGTTTTTTTTTAAACTATAGTCCGGCCCGCCAACGGTTGAGGGACAGTGAACTGGCCCCCTGTTTAAAAAGTTTGAGGACCTCTGCTTTAGGTTGTTGAATGTTGGGCTGGAGGTGGGGGCCACTGCTGGGCCTAGCCTAGAGGGTGGGACGAGCAAACAGAGAGCTGCCAGAGCACCACGTGGCCTTGCTGCAGCCCCATGCCAGGAGGCTGCTAAAAATCACAGTGTAGACTATGAAGGGGTTCCCTTAGGCATGTGTTCCAAAACCCCCACCAGCACTTACCAATGAGAGAGAGAAGGGTGGAGGGTGTGGAGAGGGGAGATCCTTGGGTGTCATAAAACACTAGGTGGGGTGTTCCTCCAGCTGTTGGGGGACGTGAGGCAAATGCAAGTAGGCGAGGGGCTGACTGATGAAGACACCGAGGAACAGGGGAGGTGAGATGTCAACAGGGGTTGCCGAAAAGCGTCCAGGTATGGGCTGTGCCAAGGTGCCTGGCAGGGGGAAGAACCTGTGAAAGAAAGAAAACCGCATGACATGACTCAGCAGAGATTAGGCAAGACTCTGATGCGAGGCCAGGATCATTTTGGCAAAGCCCGGCCTCGGTAGAAGGAACCAGTACCGTTCCTTCTGGGCGATGATGAAGATGCACTTGACTCGACTGCGTGGAGGGCGATGCCCGTGTGTTTCGTGAAGCGGGTGGGCGGTGCGGAGCGGCACAGCCAGCGCCAGCGCAAGTCCCAATGCGGTGCCTCCAACCCCGCGCGAAGGAGAGTCCGCGCCGGAGAGGGCGCGGTGCGCCTGCGCACTGGGCCCCCCGGGCCCCGCGCTGGGGAAACCGCGAAAACCCTGGCCTCGGTCCCTGGCCTTTGCCTTCAGGGGGGAACCCCCCCTGGGGAATGTTTTGTATGT